CAACCACTAAACCAGATGCCCGGTCACCTATTTGCGGAGGGGGAGGAGCCGGTCAATGACGAACCGGCCCCCTATGACCCGGAAAGAGAGACCCGGGACCAGTGGGTGGAGAGGTTGGACGCAGCCGGTTACTCTCCACTCCCCATCTCCTTTGTTTCGGACATTTACCCCCATGTCTCCAAGATAGCTTTGAACAAAGCCCGTAGGAACCTTCCGGTTGGCTATGTTCTCGAATATGACGATAACTGGTCCAACATCATCGAACCTCACCGGGAGGATAGGATTGGTTTCCACATTGCTTCCTTAGAGAGTGGTATCATTTTTCCCCTTCGCCCCCTCCTTGTCGAGCTTTGCCATTGCTTCAAAATCCTACCCGGCCAAATTACTCCCAATGCCCACCGGTTGCTAAATTCCTTCGCAAACATCTGCGCCCACCTTCACATAGACCCCTCTCTTCGCCTATTCCTTTACATGTTTGAGGTTCGCCCCGGTAAACCGGGTTGCGAAGGTTTCGTCTACTTCAAGGGACGGAATAACCGCAAGTTCATCTCTGACCTTCCACAAAGCAACCGTTTGTGGAAGGAAAAATTCGTCTTCATAAAGTTTCCCCCCTCCGTCACTCCTTTGGCCGGTCTGACATGGAGTGACCACCTCCTTAAGCATCAGTTTACCGAACCGCCGGCTACCCCGGATCTGGAGGAGAGCCGGGAATAGCTTCTTAAAGGGGACCCCTTCACCGGTCAGATGTACCATTATGGGGGTTGGGTCTGGCGTATCCAACCGAGTGACGAGGGTTCCTCCCGGGCCCATGAAGCAGCGGGGCACGGGGGACCCTCCCCGGGCAACACTGCAGAGGCTGGAGGCCCAAGTCACCCAGGTACCTGCCTATTTCCTTCCTCTTTCTTTTCTTACTGAACCGGTCATGGTTTGAATACTTGGTGATATTCTGCCTGTTTTTGTAGATATGAATTTCAGGGCGTACAATATGCCGAAGACTGCCGGTGGTTCTTCCTCTGCTGCCGGTCCACACACTTCAGCAACCGTACCGGTCCAGAAGGAACCCATAGAGATCCATTCTAAAGAGGAAGCTCCTGAGACCGGGGGAGTTTCTCAGACCGGGAGAGAACCGGCGAATTCTCCCCTTAACAAAGGAAAGGGGAAAAAGAGAGTGAAACATGCGGCCACCAACCACCCGTCGGCCAAGAAGAAAAGGGGGGAGAACATCCCGGCTGAGGAGTCGCTGGAGGAGCTTTGGGTCAAACTGACCCTCAAGCTGAAAGGGGTAATCTTCGTGCTAACCGGTACCTCCTCTTGCCATTTAATCTTCACACTAACCGATGTTCTTTTCAATGTGCAGATGGGTGAAGTTAGGCCTGACGTCTTGGAGCAACTCACTGAAGATTCCTCCTCTCGGTTAGCCCAACTGGAGGAGAAGCTGAAGAGATATGAGGCTCATAACCGGGACCTCAAGGAGCTGACCGCCCGGCAGTCAAATGAGATGGCTGATCTTTCCGCCATTGCCGAGGGGGCCAAGGTAGAGACCCTTCAGCTGAAGGAGGAGAACTTAAAGCTGATGGAGGATCTTGAGCTGAAGGAGCGGGAGTTCCCCAGTAGGGCCAGGCAGTGGATGGAGGACAACCTGGTGGAAGCTGCCCGGGTACTCACTTCTTCTGAGGAAAGGACGATGGAAGGCTTCAAGCTGCTCTACCGGGAGGAGCACGGGAAAGAGATGATTACCCAGATTGGCTCCTACGGTTTCATGTCTGGCCAAAAACGAGACCGGGAGGCCACCCATGCGATCCTCGCCGAGCGGGACCCGGACTTCACTGCTGATTCATACGGTCTGGCTCCCATCCCGGATGACGAACCTGCACCTCCCTTCCCCCTGGAGTGAACATCTCCCCGGCTGCGCCCGGTTGTTTTTGTAAAACTTATAACTTGAATTTTGCCCGGGTATGCCCGG